CAATCAACCAGTTTCCTACATTTGGTGGTTTGTTATTCTAAAAGGTGCTTGGTTAATAAGACTATGCTTTCAAATTGTGTTGAAACTGATCACCAAGCTTCTCAATTAATTACCATAATTGAGTACTTTGAAATGAAAATTAATAATACACACAGTGAGACAATAGAATGCTTCTTCTATTACTGATCTTGGCTGTTAGCCCGAAGCACTTCACATTTTTTTCTAATTGCACAATAAAATCCCTTTTAGATTTTAAAATAAACACAATAAAGGCAAAACACATGTACACACATGCAGCATGTAAGAAAAAAAAATGAGTCAACTCAAGTGATATAGGACATAATACCACTGTTTTCTCCAGTAACAATGCTATTTTTTGAAGGCTAACCATAAAAAATAAACAATTTAGAGAAATGCAATAAAACCCACATATTAAGGCAACCCAAATTCTAAATTCAGAGTTGCAAAAGACAACTCACACACATATACAATGGCTGTTCTGAGTAAGAATCAGTATTCACAACATTGCTATTCATTATAATTATAATAATTATAAACATTATTCACAATAAGCTAATCACTATAATTACATTCCAAAACACTAGCATTCAAAGACAATACCAACAATATCCAAATCACAGTGGTATGAAGGGCTTGGGGGTCTAGGCATCTTGATAAAACTACAGTAGAATCCAATGCAGGACTAATAAGAAATGAGACTAAAAATATAGGCAAGAGCCGAGTCACAAAATGCCTGCAATCTTAGATTTCTATCCTATCATGTCATGCCTTTCAAAATGAGTTCTGAGTACTTCATGGTAATATAGGAATATAAACAACCATAGGATAAATATGGTGCATCTTCTGTAAGTCTCAAATTTATGGAGAAAAAATTTGGAGGGGAGTTAAACAAGTTTAAGTCACTGTTTTTTTTATTAAGTCCCATTTTACTAGAACATAAAATTATGTGTTGTTTTTCCGACAGAATATGAATCTTAAAGCAATTTCGTTCTTGCAGAAAGCTAATCCAGGTTCACTATTCCTTACGCTTTAAGCAAAAGAGACAAATTGATGGAACAATTTGAGAAAAAGTTTGAGAAGCGGTGCCAAGAATGTGAAGGCAAAGGATTTTTTGTTTGTGTTTTAAAGCAGGAGTGTGACATCAGATGTGTGCTTGGAGAAGCTCTCTGGCAGCTGTAAGCAGGATGGGCTAAAACGTAAGAGACAGACCATAATGAGGGTAGCTGACAAACAAAACATCTGTAATAGTCTGTTTAAGAGATGAAAAGGACATGAACCAAAGTTGAGGCTACGAGAACACAGAGGAAGATTCCAGAGAGCAGAGGAAGCTGACAAGATAGCGCCTAATTGACTGCACCTAATCAATGAGACAGCTTTTAAGAACTTATTAGATAAAGGTGTTCATTTTCTTTTTTTAGAGCTAGTATTTCTGTAAGGTTTCTGATATATGTATCTTTAAAAGCTCCCACTTAAAAATACTTTCAGTGTGCCTTTCAATCACAGGAAGTGTAAAGTTGTGAGATGCTACTGTAAATCTGTCATACCAAAAATGAAACAAAATTTGAGTAAGGTTTATAAAACCTACATTTAATAAAAGCAATACCCATATTTCAAAAAGTTAAATTATCCTATACTAATCAGTTACCATTATAGCTTTTCTGTAGCTTTACTACTCAGTATGAGAACTAGAGTTAGGAATGGCTTTGATCCTTCGTGATATTCTAGAATAAATGAGTGAATAAACATAGATTCTTCTAGAGAAGAACATGAAATTATTTAAAATATCTGATTACTTAATAACTAAACAAAAAGTAATAGCTTTTTAAAAAATCATTATTAGTCAGTTCATAAGAGGTAAATATATAGTTTAGCCAGGTGATAGTGGCTGAAAGGCACCAAATAAAATTATAGTTAAACCTTCATTAGTAAGCTGACAATAAAATGCAGCCACTAAAAATATGAGACTAAAAATACAGGCAAGAGCCAAGTCACAAAATGCCTACAATCTTAGATTTCTATCCTATCATGTCAGAAAAGAAACATCAGAATTGTTAAGGTAAAAGATAAAATACCAAAATCCTTGCAGAATATATTCATGAAAATATTATAACTTAAGAAAAAGTAGATGAAATAAATATTAATTTTATTGAACCAATAAAAAAGAGCAATTCTCAATCTAAAGAATATACAGAAAAGACTATTTTCATTGCTTTTACTAATAGAAACTAGAATATTTTGGTCTATTCTACTTATTTATGTAACACAGATCACTGATAGCTGTAATATGATTTTGATCAGAAAACTAGGAAAGGTGCAAGTACAAAAGATGATGGAAAAATAAACACTTCTCAAAAATATTGTTTGTAATCAAACACTGCTCTGTTTAGATTTTAAAACTACATATCAGAAATATTAAAATAATTACAGAAAAATATGCTAGGACAAGTCCAGATAAGCCTCTAAGACAGTGGTTCTCAACCTTGGCTGCACATTAGAATCACCTGGGAATCTTTTAAAATCCTGACAGTAGAGTTTGATAGCAACGGCAACATAAATCATGCTCCTTCCACAACTAGAGAGTTATGGTATGTTTTATCTTTCCTAATCTATTCGTTCCATCCCATCTGACTTACCCATTACATAAACCCAGTGCTTCTGGATATTATTTTCATGTTGATTGAAAAGAGGAAAATTTGTAAAGATAATACCACAGTGTTTGCCCAAAATTGTCTTCTTTATGTAAAAAACTGCTCTATGACCTAACAACTTTTTTTTTTTTTTTTGCTTTTAGATGAAACTTCAGCTCTCAAAAACAACAACAGCAACAAAAAACATGGCATAAGAATTTAACTTAACATAAAAATGTAAGATTCTGCCATAGTTGGTTTGGCTCAGTGGATACAGCATCAGCCTGTGGACTGAAGGGTCCCGGGTTCCATTCCGGTTAAGGGCACATGTCCGGTTTGCGGGCTCGATCCCCAGTGTGAGGCGTGCAGGAGGCAGCCAATCAATGATTCTCTCTCATCATTGATGTTTCTGTCTCTCTTTCCTTGTCCCTTCCTCTCTCCGGAATCAATAAAAGATTGGCAGTAAAAGACTCATCTAGACACAGAGATCTTATACCAATTTTATTCCATAGTTTATGCTTTGCTACTTTAGAGAAAATCCTAAGATTTAGGCTAAACATAAGTTCATAACAGAGAAGGAATATCTCAAAAATACAAATCAGTGTAATTCTTATAAAACTTCTCTCCATCACAGACACCAGGTAATTAAAATTGTTCCTTTTATTAGACCCTTTGATCTATTTTTTTCATGTCTCTTGCAAAGAGAAATGAGAAAGATACCAATAACAAAGCAAGATTAGATAGGACTGTCTAAAATTTGGGGTCTAAATATTTTCAGAATGCAAGGACATGTGATAAAAAGAGATGACATTCTACAAAGGAAATCAAGATACTTCACCGTCTCTCTTCTCCTAGTTTATCTACACACACAGCTGCTAGTTCTTCGATTTGCTTTTTTAAAAATGCCATCTGCCTCATCCATGCCTCCCTCTTTCTGAGCTCCCTTGCTCTCCTCTATTTGCATGAGGAGGGGAAGGGTGCCTCTATGAAGTCAGTCCATTATAGGTGCCCTTAAGGTCGCTTCACAAAACATTACCTATCTGATAGTAAGTGGACAATGATAGAATATTTGAAAGGGATGAGATACAAGGCTGACAGACTTTCTTTTTTTTTATCTTGCTTGTTGAAACAAAATGACCCCTCATGCATGTGGGATATAAGGTTATATACTCACATTTATTATGAGTGGCTGTGGAAGGTCTAATCACATAGTGATGAGGCACTAATCTTACTATTTCATGGATCGTGAAAGAACTGCCCTGCAATTATCAACAGCCAGCTCACCTGCAATTCCATGCGTCCAGGTACAGGTGGAACTACACGAAATATGCAACTACCAGGACAGCCCACTCTCCCCATCCACACAAAATATATAAATTCAAGTAATACGTGAAACAGACAACTAAGAAACCCTAAAGAATCAAAGATATGATCTCTCTCTCTCTCTGGTAAAAAAAAAAAATACATAGGTATACGTAAGCACAGGAAAAGAGAGAATATCCCATGCTAACAGCGGTCATCTTTAAGTATCAGAAATATGAGTGATTTCAATTTCCCCACTTTTTGCTTCTCTGTATTTTCTTGCTTTCCTACAATGAGTAGAACCTTGGCCAGCAAGAATGGGGGGAGTTAAATAAACGCAGAGCTTCGAACCGTAAAGCAACAGTTAATCTGGATCAAAGACAGAAAGTAGCCTGTCTTTAAGCTTCCTCCGAGTCACTGAGGGATGAATCCTCCAGTACTTGGCATGCAGAAGACGGATGCGCAAGGCTCCCCAAGACGGAGTGATAACCTCGCCATTCCTTGGCCTTCAACTGAAGGGACAGAGTTGGTCTATATACAAACTTGGTCAAGTGCTTCTGCAACAAGAAAGCTCCCTCCCCGCTCTCTCGCGCGCCCTCCCCTCCATGGCACACCCAAGTCCCGAGGACCCCAGGCGGGACCTCCGCCCCTCTCAAGGTGCTCCCGAAGACTTGGCACCCCCAAACTGAGCTCCATAGCTTCCCTCCACTCTCCTTCAACCACTTGTCCCCCTCCCCCGCCCCCCCCAGACACACCCAAGGGGCCATAGGGGAAGGAGAAAGCCAATCTGACTTGCAGGCAGACGCCCCCGATTCCCGTGACCTTGGACAAAGCCGCATCGCCTCCCGGAGCCTCAGTTTCCAAATCTGCCACCCTCGCAGGGTGACCTCAGGCTCAGAAACCCGGGGGAGGGGGTGCAAACTCGACGGACCGTTCTCGTAACTCTACACCGACCCCCTCCTCCCCTGACCTCTCCAAGGCGCCGGGCACCAACCTGGACCCCTGTCCCGCGACCCCCGGGACGCGTCGCCTCCCAGTCCGTCCCCGTACCTGGCAGTTGCTGTCCTGGGGCAGGTTTTTCACCAGGATTTTCCTGCGGTTACTCAGCTAGGGGGTGCAAACTCGACGGACCGTTCTCGTAACTCTACACCGACCCCCTCCTCCCCTGACCTCTCCAAGGCGCCGGGCACCAACCTGGACCCCTGTCCCGCGACCCCCGGGACGCGTCGCCTCCCAGTCCGTCCCCGTACCTGGCAGTTGCTGTCCTGGGGCAGGTTTTTCACCAGGATTTTCCTGCGGTTACTCAGCTCCCGGCGCATCCGCTGCAGCCGCGCGGCCACCTCCTCCAGGTGCA